AACTCTGAGTTGTGTAGTGAGACTCTACCAACTGCACTGAAACAAACAAACAAACAAACAACCTTGAGATTAAATTCAGTTGAGTGGAATGCAAACATTACAAATGAAAAAGACTGAAAGGAGCTCACACCAAAGGATAAATGTTGTGTGCGCTGGTAGACTAAAGGTGATTCTCTCTGTCTCTTTGGACTTCCCAAATTTTCCATAATTATATTATGCTGATAATTTTGGAAAGTAATACTTTTATTCAATGAATATTTCAGGTCATTGTGTGAGCGTATAGGTATATTGCATATTACCTTTAACATCATGGAACTCTAGATGTAGTAAGAGGGCAAAACGAAATCTCATGAATGGTATGGTTTTGATAAAGTAAAAGGGGCAAAGGAAGTTGGAGGAAACTGCTCATGTAAGTCTGGTGTGATCATGAAGGAATAAAGCACCAGTAGAGCTTGAACTGAATGTGAAAGGACAGAAGTTTAACATTTTGAGCATGAACTGGTATTTGATGGAGAGAAAAATGCATAAACAAAAGGAAGAAGATGGAGACACATAGCTATATTTGTGGCACTTTGCCTAATGACAAAGTAATAAAGCAAAACTTGACTTAAAAGTTAGGTTGAGGCTGGATTTTATGGTAACTTGCATGCAAGGCTAAAAGTTGGGCTTGCTTCTGATATATATATTTTACAAGGTGGAACTTGTTTTCATATACTTTGCATCTAGCCTTCATAATAATGTTTTGAAGAAGAAATTGTTCCAGACACAGATGACAAAACTGAAGCTGGAGAAACTAAATGATCCTCCAAGATCACAGAGCGAGTTTTCTCCCTGCCCCATTATCTTTCTAGTTGTTCATTCATGCCAACAGAATAGCATTTGCTGCAATACATCATAATTGTGCACTTTTCTCTCTAGTACATTCTACTTGTGTTTAGAAAAAGCAGCCACCAGGAAATACTACATGACTTAAAATGATTGATTTAAGAAATTTCTTTGTAGGCAGATGAGTATGGTAGGCTGAGAATGACCTTCGATTAAAGGCTTGGTATGAATCCTGCTTTTGCCACCTATAAGCTTTTTGAAAGTTTTTTTTTTTTTTAATGTATTTGGTTGTTACAGGGTCTCACTCCACAGTTTGGACTCGTGGTGATCCTCCTACTTTCAGCCTCCCCAGTGTTGGGATTATAGGCATGCACCACTACACCTGGACTTTGGCCAGTCCAGACTTCCCTGGGGGTGGGGCAGGCATGGCATGTGGTTGCTGGGATTGAATTGCATTCCCTGTACTTGCCTGAGTTTGCCTAAGTAGGCTCTTTAGTCCACTGAGCTATCTCGCTGGCCCTGTAAGCTTTTTAAGCTCATGAAAGAGTTTATACTCTTAGTTGATTATGACAGTACATCCTCTAATCCCAGCACTGGGGAGGCTGAAAAATATGTTACTCTATTGATAGCTATACAAACCAAACACATTATGGGGCTGGACATTTTCTTCTAACATTGATAATTTTGCTGCTTCTCATTACCATTTTATTTTCCACAAGGTGTCAGTATTCTGCAGGTCAGGTGCTTCTAGGAAGTCAGATGGTCAGTCCCACCTATGAGAACTCAGCCTAACAGTACACTTGTCAGTACGTATTAGTCACCTTTACTCATCTCAGTTTAGTTTTATCTTTAATCTTTGATGACCAGTGTCCATTTTTACATGGCTTCATTTGTGATTATTAACTACAGTGGTGTGAAAGCAAGTAGAAGCTATATTCCAAAATTTGATTTTTGATCTTTCCCTGGGTCAGTGATCTACAATGATATATTCTTATAACACTAAATAGCAGAAGGTAGCTGTAGGTCCTGCTTGGCCACATGATCATGGGGCAAACACGCGATGCTCTGTGGGCTGTGTGGTTGCCCAGCTAAGACGTTTGGTAGGTAGGTTAGGTATCTTAATTTTTAACTTCCAGAGGGGACATAACTTATGTTTATTGGGACATAACTCCATCAGAAGTCAAAGAATATATGAATATTTGCCTGAGAGAACCATACTGAATCAGAAGTCCGACGTTTATAATAATACCTTTTGGGGTATTGTGGTGGTTGACATTGTGTCAACTTGAGATGTCAGAAGATTGGCTGGATCAGCTTGGTGATACCATGCCCTGGGGTGTGGAGGCCCTACCCTAGGGTGGAGAGGGCCTGCCCTAGAGTGACTCAGCACAAAAAGGGTATATAAAGGGGTTGAGTAGGGCTTCCATGCGCCACTTCCTTGGAGGAGCTTGATCGTCACAGCTGTGCTACTTGGCAGGAACTTGGATTTTCACAGCAACCACTTCCCTGGAGGAGATCCAGTCTTCACAGTTGTGAAAGAGAGAGGCTTGACTAATGCCACAGCTGCTGCTTCTCTGCTCTTTGTTGTTTTCTGTTGCCATGAGCGGCTGCCGTCTTCCTTGGAGCCAGCAGAGTATGGACTGAAACCTCCACTAACTGTGAGCTAAATAAACCTTTCCTTTCTTAATTTTGAGTGTCAGGTATTTGTCCCAGCAACATGTGAAAAGTAACTGAGACAGGTATGTACCATAAAAACTTGATACTATGTTGACAATTATGACAGCTTGTAAAGTGGTGTGCATGTCACACATTGGGGAAAACATAAAGTCATCTGGAGACAGAAATAAGACAGATCCTCATTTTAAGGCCACAGAAGCAACTTATTTAATTAAATAATCTGGTACCTACCCCTGTTCACCTGGATTTATTTTCTTAGAAAGAATTCTGTTTTGTATTTTGCTTCCTCAGTATATTTCCTCTTTTGGCCCCAAATTCTTCTAAGTGTTAACTAATTAAAGATATAAAACATAGCTTCACCGTGGGCTTAAAGTATGGAGTTCCTCAAGATTCAATAATTTCCTGAACAGTTCATGAGGTCTGGTCAGCATCAAAGTTTAGGGGATTTGGGGGGATTTGAAAGAAGCCTCAGAACAACTGGCCACTGGCTCAGAAGATGGCAGTGGAGGCCTCTTTGGGGAATGTTCTTTTGTGGTGTGCATGGAGCGCAGGTCTGGAGGAGGAAGATAGAACCCTCAGTACTCTTGCTTTCATGGATACCACAGAGGATCAGAAATTCCTTCTGTTCTGCTTAATCGTCAACACTAAGACATCAAAGTAGCTCCTGAGAAGCACCAGAGTGAATGCTTAGCTTACCAGCAGCAGGCACTTGCTCCTGACCTTGTATAGCTCCCTGCATGGAGTGCTGCCCAACTACTACCTTCTGTGCCATGCTGTCTTCCTTCCTGCTATGTCTTCCAGGGTCCTGCCATCACCCTGCAAACTTCTGTCAGTCAGATATTGAAAAAGAGAATTAAATTAAACAGTGTGTATTTAGGTAATTGATTAAAGTGTGTGATTCACATTCTTTAAAGTTGTGCACATGCTTTTAATACATATCTACATATCTACGATGCTTGCAACAGCATCTAAATATTTAGTTGTTAAAGTCTGGAGAAGTGTCTCCCAACATTCATGTAGTGGAAAAATCAGATTCAACTCATGAGATTTTTAATTCACAACAATTTTCCAGTGTCCTTCACAATTTTTGGTATAATCTATGTTGTACACACTATATGTGGTAAGGAAACAAAATAAACTTGTAAAGCATATCTGCAGGAACAAAACATTTAGGCACTTGATATAATAAACTTTCAAACACTTTAATATAGAAAGCATTATACATTTTATAAGGAGGACATTGAGACAGTTGAATTAGTACATAAAATTTTTATTTAAAGTTTTCCCCTTCCAAGCAAGCTTCATTTATACATTCTAATATTATACAAAATTTACATTTTTCTGTGACTTATTCACTTTTTACTTTCTAGTAGTCTGTATCTTTCTGAAATACAGAAAGTTTTACTTATACTTCTCATAAATGCTTTTATTTATTTTGGCTAGAAGGAAAAAAAGAAAATGAAGAACAAGTCTAAGAAAAGCAAAAATTCTTGTATAAATGGTGACTTCTGGAGGAAATGGTGACTGTTGACAATAAAAGGTTTTGAAACAGACCTTGTTCTCTTCATGAGGTCAGCTGAGGTTTTCCTACCAAGTACAGTAGGCTTTGTTTCTATACACTCCTATTTTTTCAAGGAAAAAGCAATGAAAGTTGATTGCACTGGATATATATATATATACGTATTTATATATATATATTTTACAACGGATCCTTTGGATCTGAACATACAAATAAATACAAAAACAACAAAGATTGCACTTTACTGTAGAAACAGCATTGGATTCCAGTGTACCCATCTACCTTGATGTGCTCCACAACAAAAGCTTATGATCAAGGCATTTTTAATCTGTCGCTTTTCATATCGTTGTTTTGAATGTCACATTTGTCAAAGTATCCGTCCTTTGTGGATGATTAGAAAAATATTACAGGCTTTTATTTACTTCTAACAGTGACTCGTTTTGTTCTGAAGAGCTTGTGAGCCAAATTCATGTTCCTTCCAGTTCAGCTCGTCTGATTGGCGACGCTCAGACTATATCATGCTGTCCTGACCTTCTTTTCCTAAATTCCTCATGCTCCTAAAGCCAAGTAGCTCACTCAACTGAGTTCAGGCATCCGTGGTGATGGCAAACAAAATAGAACCAATTAGGGGAAGAAGGAAGTTCAGCCAAGTATCTGGAGCCAGCCACAGGTGAAGAAGAAGAGGAGTATCTCGTCAGGTGCTATGATGTTGTAAGTTGTGTGTTCTAGGATATAGAGAGACAGTTGGGATTTTACTTCAAAGAAATGATTCTTTCTTTTTATCCCTGAATTTCTGGAAGCAGTCTCTAAATTTTCAGTGTGGATCAGGTTTGGGTCAGATGTGTTTTCCAACAGAATCTCTGGAATTTCATACGACGAAATTTGTCAATTGTGTCTTTTGAAGCAAGTAGCATGTGTGTTTACTAAATATGGCAGAAGAAGAGGAGAAGGAGGAGGAGGAGGAAGAAGGAACAGGAGAAGAAAAGAAACCATAAGCCTTGTGACATAGTATATTTTTGTTTTGATTTTCAGAAACAGTGCGGACATACAGATTAACACACTGGCTAGCATAGAGCCTAGAAAACACAAAGCAATTGCTGCATCTTGCTCTTCTTTGCTCTCGTGAAGTGTTGTACGGGCAGAAGGTGTGAAACAGAGCTGCATACAAACCAAAATGCCTCTCTTTAATCTTTATGGTTTTCTGTAACTGCGCTGCCTGTGGAGTCTGTGAAGTAGCCAAAGATTAGGAAAGCAGAACTGAGCGGCACTATCTGTAATGCGGTGCAAGTGTTCTTGGTGGGTCAGATTTTGAATTATTCATGTACACAATATCCCCAAAACTTCAACATCGACCACATGCAGGTAGACTACAATACACAATACTGATCTTAGGTCTCTCTGGGGCCAGTATTCTGTATTTTCTCTTTCTCCTTTTAAAAGTTAAGATCCTCATGGGAAGTTTCTGTTTAGCTGGGACAAGTTAAAGCCAGTCTAAAATGAAGAGTCTGTCACCATAGGAACTCGGATATGATCTGAGTTACAGACACAGTATCTGCTCCAGAACGAGTTTCTTTCTTTTGTAGTTACTTGCCAATCATCAGAAACCAAAGGTGAATTGCGGCACAGATCCTATGGGAGAGTGACATCACCTGTCACTACTTCCCAGGATGTGACACTGTCCATTTCAGGGTGTCCTGGTATCATTTATTGTAGGGCACACAGGCAGGCAGGATGACTGTGGCACAGGCTGGGCCTGCCAGAGGTTCTGCTACATCTCCTTCAAGTTCCGTCCAGGTCCCCTTTTCTGGACAATAGCATATTGTAGATGATTTATAGGCACCCTGTAATGACAGAGCAGCAGGCGTTGAGAGAAGGATTTTCTGAGAAGAGCAACAATAATATTATTTGTCACATTTACACTAGAGATGAAAGATCTCTGCTCTTGCTAGAAAATTCTGAAGCAGTCAGTTGAAAACTGCTTTATTCTAAGAAAAAATGTAGAATAGACATTTCAAAATCTTTTTTTGATGACGAATAATAAAATTCAAGTGAATACCTAAAACATCATAGATAGTCATAAAATCTTTTAAAATAATGGACTGAAGTTGCAGCTGGCCACCTGGCTTACATTAAATAAATAAAAAGATAAATTTACCTTAATATTAAAATAGTTGGATTTTATTTTATTACCTCATTTCTTCAATTTTGATTTGTTACTGTGGAGAATCAGAGCTGGCACTGAAACTCAGTAAAAAGTAAACTGGAAATGAAGGCTTGCTAACATCTTCATACACTCTGGTTGCTTCCAAACACATACTACTCTTATAGCTCACAATTTGCACCAGCAAACAAGCACATGCACAAATACCTCATTATATATATCAGTACATATTTGTCTTCAAACAATGAATGCTTTTATAAAGCTCTATAAAACTCAATTTCATGATTATGTTTGCCATAGAAGAAAAAACTAATATTATTAAAATAAAAAGTGACCTTATAAAATGGACACAGATAAATGGAAAATATAAAAGTAGTCATCATTCAAAATGTGAGTACATAAGCCAGAAGATCTGAGGTATCTCCCAATGTGATGTCACCTGAAATACAGAGCTTCTTCTCCAGATGTTCATACAAAGAAGAAGAGGAAGAAGAAGAAAAGGAAGAGGAAAGAGAAGAGGAAGAAAGGGGGAAATGAAAAAGAAGAGGAGGAAGAGGCGGAAAAAAAGGAAGAGGAAAATAAAAGTTTGAATTTAATCTCAGTCTCTAACTTTGGTTCTACAATAAATGCTGAGATGAAAACTATTCTGAAACGATAAAAAAATCATCAGCCAACTCCAGAATGTAGGATATTTTGTCTAATAACTGATACTGAGTTGGGAACGAGTCAGTGGTGTGGAACAAAAGGTGGGGTAGAGGCACCACTCCAGACTGCAAAGAGCCCTGTGATCACTAATTAAGAAGAAGACTTGTTAGAATCTGACTTGAAAGTGCTAAAAGGACATCCTTGTCTTTTCTGAGTCAACGAGGGAAATCTGAATGTGGATTGTACATAAGGGAACTGCGGTTCCTTTTGTTGGGTATGACAAATGACAGTGTATTTATAATTTAGAATTTTTAAGAGAAAAAATACTGGTGCATTTAGAGTGCAATAATATAATGTTGGGATTTGCTTCCAATTTATTCAGCCGAACTATTTGAAAAAGGGACTGATGAAATAAACATGGCAAAACATTGATGGGTATTGGCACTAGAGGATGAATTAGTAAGGGTACACAGTAAAGCCAGTTTGGGCATATATTTGGAAATTTTCATGAGAAAGAGGAAAATAGTGAAATTGAAATGATACCTTCTAAGTAAAATTCATGGGAATTGAAGAATTAATTTTCCTTTTTCATATCTGACTGGTCAGAAACTTTCAAACTCTCCTATCCAGTCTCTGAAAAGCATTTGTAGTCACTTCAGCTTGACTTTTAGCTGGAAAACCAGGCTCACAAAAACACAGAGATAGGATGAACCTGAGGTCAAACCCACATCGATCAGATAGCATGACAGTTCACCAGTGTTCTTGGTAATTCTTCTTTATCACTTACAGTAACTTACAGTGTGCACCTAAACATGATATCCTGAAGAGGCACATGCGTGGGTGATGACCCATGTGGAAGGAGTCAAACAGAAAAATTGAACACAAGCAGAGAGGAGGAGAGTGTGGTGGAAATGGACGTACCATACTCCAGCTGTAGCCTCCCACGAGGTAAATGCTGTCATCCAGCACTGCACAACCAGGACCACTTCGCCCCTCCAGAATGGGAGTTTGCAGGATGCTCCACTGGTCTCCTTTAGGGTCATAGCACTCCACAAGCATCACATCAAGGTGGGAGAAGCCTAAGTAACATTGGAAAGTGGAACCATAAAAGAATAAGCCTCTTAAGGTTAGGGCTTTTTTTTTTTTTTTTTTTTTAGGTCTGAGAAGTAGACTAAGAAGTAGTCAACTGTGATTTTGAAGACATGAATACATAAATTCACTGGTGAAATTGGGAGCCATATCAGAAAGACCTAAAAATATATCAAACAAATTCTCTGTTTTGGATTAATTCGAAGGAAGCCTGAATATTTGTCATTAGTAAAAGTTGATTTATGGGGAGGCGGATCATATTAAAATGCTTTACTAAAATGTTATTTTGAAAGGTTTAAAATAAGAATGGTTAAGGAAGCATTTTTATGAAGCACTTACCACAGGATAGTTTCATTTTCTAAGTTTTTTTTTGTCTAAATGAAGTGATTGGGCTGGGGAGATGGCTCAGTAGAATAAGTGCTTCCCTGGCAAGTGCAAGGGCCTGAGTTCAATCCCCAGTTCCCCCCCAAAAAAAATAAATAAAAATAAATAAAAATAAATAAATAAATAAAATAAATGAAGTGATTTCCTGCCATTACTCTATGAGATAAGCTACCATCATTATAGTCACTTTATAGATAAGGGAACTGCAAGACACAAAGTCAGTGACTTCACCCCTTCACTAGTGGGTAAACAGGCTAAGATTTGAACCCAGGAAAACAGACCTTAAATCCTAGACTGAGCTCACAGTATTGCTTTTCTTTCATGACTTTTGAACTCACCTGAAATATTTTGAGTAATTAATGATACACTGTTCAAATGTCTTTTAACCTTTTACAGTCTGTATTTGTATATATCTCTAATGATGTAAATGGTTTCTAATTTCCCAAGATCAAGGTTTGGAGTAGGGGCTCAGGGTTTTCTCTCTCCACTTCTGATAGAGAGAGGAGGGCGGTAATTGGGTCAGCAAGAACAGTACGTGTAGGTTGCCAGACCTCCCTGGAGTCCTACCTTTAATATAGAAGGAGGAAAGGCCCTGGTGGGGGCCTTATGGTCACTCACCAGACAAAATGTCCACCCCCCACCCCCGTTAACTGTATGCTATGGATATTTACTAGTTGACAATCACAATACATATGTCAAGCTAGCTGATATATTGGATTGTACCAACTAATTGAGAGGACGAGTCCTCTTATTAAGAGGATTAATCCTCTAATAAAAAGGCATGATTTTTATTTCTGATAGATTATTCCAGTTAGTATTCCTTGCATAAAACAAATTGCATAGGGAGTTATTGGTCCAGTAGAGCAATGTACCCACTGTACTATTTGAAGCATAATACATTTCAAATGAGGTCTTGGGGTCAGTCTGGGCTCTGAAGTTCCAGAGGCAGTGTCTGAGGCTATGTGTATCTTCTCTGTAGAAATAGTCTATATTATTAGATATACTGACTGTAATCCTTACAAAAACCACCAAGGAGAAATTACTTATTCACACAACTAGCAAGTGCATAGCCAGAACACAAGTCTAGGCTTAGGTAAGTCTTCCTTTCCCCTTTTTCACCCTGATGTCCATTGAGCTAAACTACTATTGATGTACGTGTGTGTGCTACTTCTCATTTAGGTTGCAACTGACCAGCCTGGCTGTGCACACGTAGTCTCAAACATCAAAAGCTCTTAAAATATTTTGGCAATATCTTGTGTAAAGGGAGTTAGAAGAAATTGATATACCATAGGAAGCTATAAAGTTGATATAAAAATGTGTTAAGATACGATGCAATGGAGTATGAGGCGAAATGAAGGCACCCTGGTGAAAATTAAACATGAATTAGGAAAAGTAGAAAACAATTTTCTCTGTCTGATCTACTTTTTATTTATTTATTTATTTTTTATTTTTAGGGAAGGGTCTACAAGGTCTCACTACTAGATTGGACTCGTAGTGATCCACCTGTTTAGAGCCTCCCAAGAGATGGGATTACAGGTGTGCCACCACACCTGGTCTCAATTGCTGTCTCAGTGCACCCCGGGGGCTGGGCCAGCACGGCAGGCTGGGGGATCAAACCCCCGCCCCCTGCATCTGCTTGCAGGCAATTTAATCCACTGAGCTATTTGGCTGGCTCCTTGATCTACTTTTATGATATGTATATTATTGTAAAAATAAATGCACAGATGTGTCTCATCTATTACAGTGGCACAGCACGTTACTAATTTAGTTCATCTTCAAGGATCAGAGGGGAAAATTTCCGGTTGAAGTCAGGATTCTACCAGGCCAGGTTGCTCATTTTCAGATGAGGAAGTAGAGCCCCTAAGTGTGTCAGTAATGCTTGCAGTGCCAGGGATCTGTCCGCTTTCTTGCCAGAATCAGTGCTATATCTTACACAGTAAAGTTATAAATGTGCAATAAGCCACGAAGAATGCAGTGGTGTGCAGATCTAGGGAAGAAAAGGAGCCAGAATGTGGCTCTGAACTACTGTGCTGTAAGTTTTAATTTTTTTAAAAAAAGCAGTTCAATTTGAAAGTCATAAATGGTTTGATAGTCAATACTAGCTAAATAATTTTAGATTTAGACACAAGAGTCTACCAAATGTCTTCTTTAAGGAAAAGATATGATCTATTGGTTTGTGCAGCTATGGCTAAAGTTCTTTGTTCTTTTATAAAAAAACATTTTTCTGGGGAAAATTCATTACTATAACTTTGGTGATAAGAAATAATTCATTTCACTCGATTCACTGTTACAATAAATTGTTTGTGCTTTTCAGTTATTAATGCTCCCTTTTAAAACATTTTCTGTAGACATCATTATTCATTTCTTTAATGGGCATGGTAACTCAAAAATAATCCTATCTGCAGAAAAGTCGGAATAAATGCTTGCTCAAGGGTATTGCTAATTTACGCAGAGTAGATTTTATTTGGTCAACATGTTTTTTTACTTGGTTAGCTGATTATCTAACGAGAAACCCCCTTAGCAAGAAACATGAGATGCAAATGCTACTGTGATTAAAAAAAAAAAAGACCTTTCAAATGATTTCCTCCAATTGCGTACAAGCGATCATTCATTACAGCCAAAGTGTGGATTGCGCGTTTTGTGTTCATGTCTTGTTTCCGAGCCCAGACATCCATTACAGGGTCATAGCAATATAGCCACGGGACATACTCTCCGTTGTGTACACCCCCTGTGAATTAAACATATACACACACAAGTCACACCAGTGTTTTAGAGCTGCACCTTGGAACAGAAAGTAGAGGAATAACTTGCCTGAAATGTATATCTTCCCATTGTGCACGGCTCCCGCGTGAGCTGCCAGAGGCTGCGGCAAAGAGGACACATAGCGCCATTCGTTTGTGTCCAGGTTGTAGCACTCCACGCTCGACAAGTAGCCGGTTTCATTCCTCCCACCGATAACATACAAATGCTTGTCCAACCGACATGCATAGAAGCTGGCTCTTCTATAATGGAAACAACACACAGTGACTCACAGAACAAGCTGTGAAATGCTCTTTGTGATAGGAGAAGGACCCTCAGTCCTTCAAGGAAAGGAGGAACAGCCTGCCTCGTGGGGGGGGGGGCTGCACACTCCTCACCTTGCACACCTACCTCTGAAATCTAAAGCTGGATGCCATAGTCACAGGCGTTGCCCATTCTGGTTAACATCTTTGATGTTAAAACAACAGTAAAGAAGAAAGGCACCAACTCTTTGTTTCAGCCCTATTTATTTTGCTTTTTCTACACTGAAAATATTCATTAATGTTTGGGATATTTGGTACCTTGTAAGGATATCACAGCTCAGTAAGACAAAGTGAAAAATGAGGTAGATAATGTAACAATAATAAATTATCTTGACATTCACTTTCTTTATGGTCCTTCAAGGGTCATTGTTCCCAATTTATAAGAGAACTACATCATCAAAATTTTTCTTCAATTATCATTTTTTCTCTTTTTTCTTCTTAGTATTACTCAAATAGAGTAACTTTTGTGAACTTCATATAATGTTCAAATTCTGCTCTTTTATAACCAGTTACAGGAATTTCATCAAAGTAGCTTTGGAATTGATTTTGATAAGGCTATTGAATATTTTTAAAGTTTCTTTTCAAGAGAAGTTATTGACTGCATTTTCCTACTATGTCATCCAAGGAACACAATGAAGGTTGTGTGGAAAGGATGGGAAACAAGGGGACAAATCCTGAGGTGGCAATAATGTAGGAGTGAGGTATTGGGTACCTGAATTGGAACTTTAGTAGAAGAAATGGAAAGGGCTGTTACAAAACATATGTTACAGAAGAAAATGCAAGACTCATAACTAAAAAAGTGTAGGAGATGAGAAAGAATATAGGTTCAAGGAATACTAAAAAATTGGGGTTAGGATGATTACATTAAAACTTCAGTAAATCGGGGCCGGGGAGATGGCTCAGTAGGATAAGCGCTTGACTGGCAAACGCAAGGATCTGAGTTCAATCCCCGGTTCCACCAAAAAAAA